GAGAGGGGGAGAGGGGGAGAGAGAGAAACATCAATGATGAGAGTCATTGATCAGCTGCCTCTTGCACGCGCCCAACCAGGGATCAAGCCTGCAACCTGGGCATGTGCCCTGACTGGGGATCAAACAGTGATCATCTAGTACATAGGTTGACACCCAAACACTGAACCATGCCAGCTGAGCTCAATAAAAATATTTCTGAAAAAACAATAAAAACCCCAGGCCTAAAAAAGATTTCAATTCACAAGGAGTCTGAGGTGTCAGTGGATCGGAAGTGAACTCCCCACACTATAGGTATGCATAAGTGCTGTAGTGTGACTGTGGGGGTAGGAGGGATACTGGTGGGGTGAGGCGCTCCCAGAGGCCAGCCATGATGTCTACCTCCTTCTCCAGTGCCTCGTGGCTGTCACTCGGGGGACCCCGGCGCTCCCCGCGGCTCTGGTTGAGCAGTGCGGTGAGAGGCACCCGCCTGTTCTCCCGCAGGGGCAGCTTCTCCAGTTCCTGCCACTTCTTCTCGATCTCCTCGCTGAGCCGACTCTGCTGGTCCTCAGTCAGGGGGGCGCCCAGGCCCCGGCGTGGCCCCTCACCAGCTGGTGTCTCTGTGGCCCTGCTGTCCACAGCCTCGAACCACTTGCGTCTCTCTTCAGAGCGTTGGGCCAGGTCTCGCTCCAGCTCCTCCTGCTTGGCTGGGCGGTCAAGAGTGCGAACTGGGGTGCGGGCCCGCTGCGGGGAGCCCTGAGTCAGCGGGGACAGCTCCACGTAGTCCAGGGACGGCCGCTGTCCATCAGCCTTCCGAGAGCCGCCTCGGCTGATGACCTCAGAGCCCACACGCTGCTCCCCCACCTTCAGGGAGCCCTTCTGGGTGCTGTAGCTGTGCAGTGTGTTCTCTTTATTGCAGTCCGAGAGCCTAGGGTGCCAGCAGAGCCAATCAGGCAGGATCTTGCCCACTCAGTCCCCAAACAAGCACTTCTGGAGTGAAACCATGTGCCAGGGCCTGGGGATGAACCCCAGCAGAGGAAGCAGCCCAACCCAGAGGTTAGAACTAGACCTTCATCATTAACACGCACTGGGCGCCATCCCAACTCCACCACTTACCAGCAGAGGGACCAGGATATCTGGCTTCCCTCTGAGCCTCAGTCACTCATCTGTAATATGGGACAACAATGCCTCTCACAGGATGAATATGAGGACTAGGTGGGCGAATATGTGTAAAGCAACCAGGAAGCCCATTACGAATGGTGATCAAAGTGTTATTATTAAAAGTATGGTTTGAGACAAGATCCTTGGTTCAAGAGGCTCACAGTGGAATAGGGGAGATGCCCATGGTCATTGCCCATGAGCAGGTGAACAGTGATCTCTTGATGCACAGGGCACAAGTTGTGGAGANGGGTTCAAGAGGCTCACAGTGGAATAGGGGAGATGCCCATGGTCATTGCTGAGCAGGTGAACAGTGATCTCTTGATGCACAGGGCACAAGTTGTGGAGACTTAACAACTGTGGCAGTGTTCCTCTTCTATAACAACAGCAGGATATATGGTCACCCAGCCTAAAACTACACTTCCCAGCATCCCTTGCAGCTATGTGTGGCCATGGCCATGTGCCTACATTCTGCCCAGTAGAAGTGAGAGGTGGCATCCTTTAAAGGAATGGGTGTGCCCTGGCCCTGATCCTGTCTGGGACTCCAGGAGAATGTAAGCAGCTTCCTGAACCAGAGGCAAAGATATAAGTCAAGGGCCACAGAACTGGTCTGGACCATACACCTCTGGACTGTTCTGGAGAAATAAACCTCTCCTACTTAAAGCCACTGCGTTTAGGGCTTCTTTGTTACAGCAGCTGATCCTATATACTAAGAAATAGTCCAGCTACACTGTGCTTCAGTTCACAAAGGGCTTCTATGAACATTCTCATGACACTCAATCTGACAGATGAAGAATCTGAAACTCAGACAAGAAGGGGACTGGCCTGAGGTTGATGAACAGCCAGACTGTAGCCAAATGGGGGAACTCACGCTTGATACCCCTCAATATCATCTTTCCATACCTAGTGCCCAGCAGCCACAAATCTCAGGACCCATGGGTGTCTGGGGTTTATACTGTGTGGGAGCTCTACCACCAGGTAACTAAGCCCTCCTACCGCTCTACCCACAGCCAGAGGGAGTGAGCTCTCCACCCAGACTGCCTAGCCATCCTCTCTCTGTAACACAGGATGAGACAGCTCCCACAGCACAATCAGCCACCAGGTAGCCACCTCTGACTCACTGGCATCTTCTCCAAAGAGCTGAGGCCTCTCCCCACCCTTTCAGGATGTGGGGGACATAGAGGGAGGGCAGTCAAACCCCAAATCCTCAATATATTTCTGGAAAACTGCCAAGAATGCTCACTGCCCTCTCCTCATTTTGTTAATAGAGGAACTGAGGCCCAGAAGCACAGCCAGAGGACCCCCGTGCAAGTGCCAGTACAGCACACAGGGATGCAGGGTGCCTCCCCAAGGCCCTGATCCAACCCAGCACATACTTGGTGACATCTGGGGCTGAAGTGGGACGCACGGTCTTCCTCAGAGCCTCGATCCAGTTCCTCCGGATGCCCGAGGTCATGGCCGACAAGGTATAGACAGCATCCTTGGTCTGCAAGTCCACCCCACAGGCAGATTGTCATGTGGCCAGGGCCATTGCTCCCTCCCCACTATGGACCCCAGGGAGGTGGCCCTTTCCTCCCAAGAAGGTATCTAAGGTCTTGAGCCTGGAGTTGAACAGAGGGCGAAATACCTCCCCTCCACTAGCCTAGCCCTGGAAGAGCCCCACTGGCTCCAAAGTCTCCCCAACATTTGAATGACCCCTGCCAATGATATTGGGGTCTCCCCAGATATGCTGTGTTGGTAGCGGAGCTTCTGACTCTGAGGACAGGGTCTCTGAGAAAATGAGTGAGCTAGTCTCTAATGGAGAGCCATGCTCCACACCAACCCCTCCTCTGAGGGGCCCTCCAGTCATGCCAACCCGCAGCTGCACGCAGCCTCACGTGAATCTGGAAGCCATAGTTGCGCTGTACTGCATACTCAGTGACGTCAGTGCAGGAACGCAGGTCAATCTCGCCATCCAGCTCATCTGCCTGCAACAGGAAGGCCGCAATGTTCCACATACCCCAGTGAGCCCAACCCATCTCAGGGGTCCCCCAGCACCTGATGGGGGGAGGGGGGCCTCCCGCCTCGTCGTCTCACCTCCTCAGCGGTGGAGTCCCTGTAGTACTTGAGGCTTGAATCAGTCAGTACAAACCAATGCTTCTTCCACTGTGAAGGAGAGGTGGTGGTGAGGGAGGGGGGTATAGAATGAAAGAATGGGTGTACCACTCTGGGGGCACCCTAGGTGCTGCCAGGAAAACCATTCTGCTCACAGTAGGGGCCTGCCACCCTCATCCACCCTGCTGAGGGGTGTGGCCAGAAAAGTCAGAAAAGTGACATTTTAAACCTGGTCCCCCATTTCCTCTCAGAGCTGCAGGGGCAGCATCTGTGAAATGGGTTGGCTTCTCATCAGTAACCACACCCTTCCTTTCCTTCTGGGAGTCCTTCTCTGCTTTGTGAACACTTCATACCCGTCCTGATCTTTTCCACCAAGATCTCTTAGGCCCCTACAAGCAAACCCTCCCATTGCAGACAGGGAGGAGTTGTGACCTGCGTAAGGTCATCTGCCTAGCAAGCCAGGGACCAGAACTTCCCAAGTCTTTTTGCATATGCCCCTCTGGATCTCCTCAGTTGCCAAGGACAGGACTCCCAGAGAGCAGGACTGGAAGGTGGCCCAGGGGGAGGCGTCTGAGCATTGGTCGTATTCTGTTTCTTGATCTGGGTGCTGGTTACATGTATGTTCATCGTGTGAGATGCATTATCTGAACATTTATGATTTGGGTACCTTCCTGTAGTGCCTTTCTCTCTGCTCAGCTGGGGTTAGATTGGCAGAACACATAGGAAAGAAAAGAGGTAGGGGCACCAGAACAGCCTGATATGCAATGTGCCAAGCTCAGCCCTCCTCTGGCTTCTGGCCATTCACGGGAATGCTAGTGGAGGTCTACCCACTGCCAGGGTCAATGCATGTCACCCAGTCCCCGGCATCTCCTGGGGCTCCCACACATCAGCAAGCCCTATTCACACTGCTTGTTAGTTCAAGTATTTAGGTTTTTTTCCCTTAAGAAGATGGAATGTTTTCAAGAACGTGCTAGGATGACATTCTCTACTTCTTTGCACACTGCCTCCCCTTAGTATTCAAGACACCTAGGTTAAAACCATTTTATCCCTTGCTAGCTGTGTGTCTTTAGTTAAGCATCTTGACCTCTCTGAGCTTCTGTCTTCTGACTTATAAAGTAGGGCTAATAAGAAGTCCCTGAGCCTTCTTGTAAGGTTAGAAGTTCTTAGCCCTCCCTTGTATGTCTCTCAGGGCACCTGGCATAGGGTTGGGCGCTACACTGTTGGAGATCCTCTAAAATGCTGGTCCCTCAGAACCACCCTGCTCTTACTGAGTAGCCTGAGTTGCAGCTCAGCACCTCAACTGTCCCTCTGTAAAGTGGGGGAGGGGTTCTGTGCCAAATGATGTGCTTGGCCCTTCCAAGCCTAGTCTATGGCTGTCTGAGACAGGAGCTAGGTAGAGTTCTGTGGGCCTCAGGTGCCCCAAGTTCCAGGCCTGGGTCTGCCCAAGGTACTGCGAGGCCTGGAAGAGATCGAAGCCCCTGTGGGCCTGTCTCCTGTCTGCACACCAAGGGGCTGGGCTGGCTGAGCTCCCAGGGCCCTTCCAGCTTGGACATTCCAACACCTCGTGAAAGAGAATGAGTAACGGCCAGCTCTGGGTGGGGCCCACAGTCTCTGCCCTCCAGAGACCCTGGGTGGGGAGGCCAGGACGGGTCACTGGCAATGTGCCAGGCGTTGTGTGAGGCTGGAGTGCAGCCACCAGAGGACCGGGGAGCAGACAGCGGGTACGGAAGGCTGTGGGCTGGAGGGAATAAAGCATGTGGGTAGGAAACACAATGCAATTCCCTTTGGCTCCAAGCCCTCCCGGCATGCGGGCTGCACAAAGACCAAAGCCATGAGCGTATGCAGGACAGGGGTGGGGAGACGTCCCTCCCAAGGTGCGTGGGCATTAAGCCAGCTCCAGCTCCAGCCTGATAGCCAAAAGGGCAGAGCGGGTAAGAGGGCACTATCGCTTCTGGTTCTAAGGATAGAAACATTACTGAGGTCCTAGCAGACACCAGGGGCTACATGTGACCCTTTACATGCTTGACAGCCATGCCTGTTATCCACCCCGGAAGGAATCATCGTTATCCATTATGCCCATTTCACAGATGTGGCCACTGAGGCCAGGAAAAGTTGTAATTCGACCAATGGGGCCCCAAGTTGGTGAGACTTCAAGAAATGTGCTCTGAGTCTCACCCCTGGGGAGAGGGGGAGGTGTTGCACGACTGAGTTGTTGGAAATCTGTACAAGTCTCAGGCCAAATGATCTCTGTGAGCCCTTCCACCCCCAACCCTTGGGTACCCAGCAGGGTCATCAAGAGGTAGAGGAATAAGGGGTTCTTGGTGAGATGAGGGGATGGGGTACAGAGCCTGAGGGGCCAGGAGGCCCCCCTCCCAGACGACTTACACACTGCAGATTGCTTCAGGAGGCCTCTGCCCTCCCACCCCCATAGTCAAAGGCTGGACAAGAAACACCCTACTGTCAGAGTTCTCGCTTCTGATCCCCACCCTGGACCCCCCCTCCACCTGTAGGCCGGGGTCTCTAGAAGGCTGGACAGGCAAGGGAAGCAGGTCAGCCTCCTGGGCTGCTCCCAAGGACCCTACAGGGCCCCAGCCACCCCCATCCTCTCCGCTTCAGCCCTCCTACCTCTCCAGGCTCGTCCAAGATTGACATCCATCCCTTCTTGAAGTTGAGCAGATCGGGCTATGGGGAGATGAGGCAGATGAGTCAGGCCCAGTGGAGAACACAATGGGGCTGGGGAAGAGGGGTTGCTATACCCATCCTGGCCCTGAGTCCCGTCCAAGTATGGGCCTGGGAAGCCAGGAGAGAGGGCTGAGGGCCGAGCACCCCAAATCCAGGCAGGCTCCCCAGCCACTGATGCAGCCTTGGTCCCTTTCCCCAACATCCGGCAATCTCTGACTGCCAAGACGGAGGACCAGGTGACTGGGGCATCCACCAAAGATGTTCAAGCTCTCCTCTCACCAGCCTACTTCCTCACCCAAGAGTGGGAGAGGGGGGCCAAGAGAATGCTGCCTGTAGAGAGATCCCCAGAGAGCTCAGACTACAAGCCAAACCAGTAGGGCGAATGAACCATCCAGTTCCTCTCACTGACAAGGCCCAGGTGGCCCACCAGGAAAATGCCTTACTGCTGCCACTCACCCCCAACCCACTGACCCTCCTGTGGTCCAATCAGCCCTACCCTTCCCTCGTCTCCTTGAGATCCTGAAAGATGGAACCAAGCACAGGCTGGGGCTAGGGATTCTCTGGTCCCCTCTAGATCTTTGGATGGGCCAGTCCCGGCAAGCCCTACCTGACGGGTGCTACCCAGGGGGACACGGCCCCGGGGCCTGGGGGCTCCCAGCTGCAGCATGATCCACAGGGGCCTGCGAGCTATATAACCCCACCTAGGCCTAGATAAAAACGCTGCTCATTCTGGCATTTTCTCTGGCCAGTTCCATCTGGTAGGTGCCAAATACCAGACCCTCCCTGGCTGCTGGGGAGACCTCTCTTGTATAAGTCCCAGTCCCTCTGTAGAGTCTCAGCTCCTGCCCACTGGGAAGACAGCAGGGCGGGCCAGGCTGGCGGGCAGGGAAGAGGCGTCCACCTGTTCCCATGGCTCTGAGCCCACCTATCAGCGCCCGCATCGCAGCCGCACCAAGCCAAGGTGTCCGGTTGCATGAAGGGAGCGGGTGGCATGGCTCAGTGGGGTAGGTGGCGAAGACAGCAGCTGGAAACCTGGAAACCAGAGCTACCTGACCTGGCCACCTCCCCTGACCTGCCTTCCTCCTAGGGAGTCCCACTCTCCTCTTCCTCAGCTTGAAGAAGTGGTCTGAGAGCTTGGGCGAGCAGCCTAGACATTCAGAGCCATCCACAGCCATGGCCGTGGGACGGGGCTGGGAGCTCAGTAGGTTGGCAGCCCCACCCCTGCGTCACAACTCCTCCCTGCATACCTCTCTGAGGGAAGGGACACAGGCTCTGCTCAGACCTGAGAAACTCTGGGTGGTGTTCACCCTATCTGCTCTCCATTTCTCCCACCCTGTTCCCCAAATGTGCAGGAGTCCCAAACTAGAACTGAATGAAGACCAGTAGCCCGGCTCAAGGCCACCAAGTCACTTGGGTTCACATACATTCAGTCTGGGACCTCACATGGCCCCAGAACTAGACACGCTGTGGTCCAGGGATACTGCTGAACAAATAAATATCCACCCTCTTCTACCCCACCTAAACTTCTGTGCTCTGGAGACATTCCCCACCCCCACCCCCAGGCCCTGAGGAGCTAGGCTTTCTGGAATGGCCTATAGGAGATCAGTCATCGACTTCTAGAAGCTGAGAAAGGGCTCCCCAGATGGAATGAGAGGCTGGGATCCCAAGGGCTGCCTGGGAAGTGGGGTCACAGAGACCTTGCTAAGTCACATCTCCTCCCTGAGCCTACCTGTCTAATGTGATAAATGATGGGGGGGGTCCTGTCCTCCCTCAAGTTTTATGAGGAATGAATGTGCCACCCATGGAAAAGCTCAGTGACCCTCTAGAAGCCAGTACTAACACGTCGCACACTACATCAGGCATGGGATGGCACAGTGACCTTGGGGAGAGGAGGACACCAAAGTGAGTTTTTAAACTACTGGCAGGAGAGGTCGGGTAGGTCAGCTAGGAACATGCCCCGCCCCCAGGGTCAAAAGGTCTGATAACCTAAATCTGTCATACTGCACCTTCAGCCCCAGCCACCTTCCCTCCACCTGTAGGAAACTCCCTTTCTCATCCCATAAGGACAACCAACAGGCTCTCGCAGGCCACCCTCCTCCCTCTGCTACAGGTCTGCACTACTCCCGCCCCCCGGACCTTCCACACGGCCTCCTCTAAGCACACTCTGGCAGACGGACCCACTCAAAAAGGCCTAGTGTTACAAGTCTGCATAAAACCTCCAGGGATAGCTCCAAGTGGCTTCCAAACAAATCCAGTACACCTGAAACTGATCTAATATAATGTATGTCAACTGTAATTGAAAAATAAAAATGATTTTAAAATGGAAACAAACAAACAATAAAAACAAAATCCACCTGCTTAGGATGGCACAAGAGCCTCAGCCCCACCCTTCCAGCCTAGCCTACACCCTACTTTGGGGACCTCATGTTTGTCTCCACACATCCTCATTGATCCCCAACACATCAGGACTTCAGGTCCTCCACACACGCCTGTGTCCTCTGCTTGAACACCAGGCAAACCCCTACTCATGCTTTAAGACCCAGTTTAACCACCTCCTCTGAGGCCCGAGCCCCAGTACACACCACACCGCCCCCAGCGGCCCTCCCATGGCCCCTCGGAGAGGCCTTTGTTGCACCCATGATTATCTTGAAGACATTTGCTTGTCCCTCACGGGCTCGACTAGAAGCAACTCACAGGCAGGTACATGCACCATTCACCCCCCAGGACTCAGGGAATGTTTGTGAAATCTTTCTTTTTCCTTTTTTAAGTAGCACGCACTCCTAGACCAGGAAGTCAGCTGCGAAGGAAAGACGTGGTCCCTGTCCTGGTGGAAGTCAGGAGGCAGACAATAAACAAGTGAACANGTCCTAGACCAGGAAGTCAGCTGCGAAGGAAAGACATGGTCCCTGTCCTGGTGGAAGTCAGGAGGCAGACAATAAACAAGTGAACAGGTATATAATTTGATGCCAGGCAGTGGCTGGGGAATGAGGCTCTGGGGCAAGGCTGCACTCGGCTCAGGCAAAAGGAGGTGGAGCAAATCCTGACTCCAGTCGGGGCTTCTGAGCCTCCAAGCATGTACCCATTCACAACACCTTTGCCACTCCATCGGTCGGTTGATCTCTGAAGTCAGGGAGGCAGGACCAGCAGAGAGGGAAAAGGTGTGAGGAAGGTACAGGAAGGACACCAGCCTGGAGCAGGCTCAGGTCGCCAGGCAGCTGGGATGAAACCAGTAGACACTCGGTGGTGATCCTCAGCCTCCTCCCTGCTTGAAACCCTTTCACCGTTCCCTAGAAACTGACCAAAAGCCGAAGATACTTTTCTTGGCCTTTGAATTCCTTTTCTCCCAGACCCCTTTTCTATGTTTTTGCTGTTCCCCAAATGTGATCAAAGCCTTTGTCCAGGACGTCCCATCCACCCCAGTCCATCTCCACTTGACAAAGTCTTACAATCACAGGAAGGCTTCTCCCACCAGCAGGGCTGTGCCGCCCCTCCTCCCAGCACCCCACGTGCTGCTTCCAGGAGCCTTGCCCTCGCTGAGCATGTGCTCCTCCAGGAGAGGCAACTGTGTACATTTCTTATCTTGCCCCAGAGAGAAAACTGGGAGAGTCCTTGGATACCAATTCTGCCTCAATCAGGGCCTAGCTGTGTCACCTCTACACCTCAGTGTCCTCATCTGTTAGATGGGGAGTTGCCATCAACCTTAGAAGATCAACTCTGGTAATGTGAAAGCACCCAGTTCAGGGCATGGCAGGCAACCAGTGGGCAAAGTGACCATCCTGCCCCTGGCCTGGGGGGAACCGGGGCAAGACACCAGCTCAGCTCCTCCCCCACATCCCTCTTTGCTCTCTGACTGGGCAGGGGAGGCTGCTGACGACAGGAAGGGCCAGCAGGGAGGTGGCAGGATGTGCGGAGGCTGAGGAAGTCCAGGCAATGGCCAGGTCATCACACTCACAGGGGCAGGGGCCCTCTCCCCAACCACCACAGCACTCCCCAGCAGCCCAACCCATTTCACTCGCCTGTGGAAATGGGACAGGAACACGCACACACCCTGCTTAACACCCCCCTCTCCTCACCAGCTGTCAGAGCCTCCCTAAGACACTAGTCAGAAACCAAAAGCAGCCCTGCCCTTCCCTTCCAGTACACCACTGGGCCAGACTGACCTGAAAAGGAGCTACTCCTTCCCTCACACGCAGGGTAACCTCGGGCAACTCACCAGAGGCTCTTCCCTAAGCCTCAGTTTATCAGAAGGTGAAATGGGGATAATGGTGAACTCAGCTGAGAGGCCGGACATGATCACGGCACAGGTATTGATGGAACTAGGGTAGGGCTCATCCGCAAGACAAAGACATGTCGTGTCCTCCACCTCCAGTCGCGGCACTGCCCCACCCCCGGCCCCAGCGCTGCTTCGGAAATCCCAGGATGGGCTTCCAGGCAGGGTGGGACGCGGCCACCCCTTCTCACCCACCCAACCTCCCGCCAGCCCCACACGGGTGGACAGTCTTCCCAGGCCCAGATCAACGAGACCCACCCGAGCCAGGGAGCTCCTCTTTCCAGCCCCGGGCGAGACCCCAGACCCAGGCCAAGCCCATCTCCGCTCCTCCCACGGTCGCAGCCTGGGGAGCCCCTACAGACCTCGCAGCTTGGGGGAATCCGGTCAGGTCTTCCCTAAGGGAGCTGGGCGGGAAGTGGGAAAGGACCGCACCGAAGCGCTCGGTGACTGGTCCCGCAAAAGCGAGGAGGGGAGTGCCCGCGACGGGACGTTCCCATACCCTCGGGTCCGCCCGGGTTCCTGGCCTGGGGAGTGAGGAGGAGGCTGGGGAAAGGTAAGGCAGGCCGGCCGGCCCAGCCGCTGGGGTCGCCCTGTCTCCCGACGGAGCCCTCTACCAGCCTCGGGGAAGCAGGAGGCGGCTGCCCAGGAGGGGAGCGGCTGGGCTCCCGCGGTCGCTCTCGCCCTGGCCTGGGGCGCGGAGGGGCCGGCGCGGAGGGCACTCACCGTCATG